GCTTGTTTCCAGAGCTCTGCCTGGGAGCTTTCTTCATCTTTAGCATAAATCTTACATCTTCACTCTAAGATACAGAATAGCTTTTGTTGATCTTTATTAGCAGCTGGATCTAGTTAGCACCTGCTTTCTGATATGGTTGCTTCCAAAACTGAGTCTGCAGTAAGCTAAACAGGAGGTTTGGGCTGCAGATTCTGTTAACTAATGCAGCAGAACCCAGGAAAGGGGCTGTGCTAGCCCACGTGCAGTGCATATACTCCGTTTAAAAGTTCCATCTGTTCTGTTTCAGGCAGCAACAAGAGTTTTCCTTGGAAAAGATTACTATAGCCATGTATTGACAAGGGCTTGTGGCAAACAGTTATTTTGAATTATGTTTATAAATTCTCATTTCTTGGGACATGCACTTGCAGAGATTAATTGCAAGTTCAAACAGGACACTAGAAAACAGAAATGCAATTTTGTCCTTATTACCAACTAATGCGTTGAGATCATTATTATTTATTTTAACACGGCACACTCAAATACAGAGCAAGTAACCAGACAGCTTTGCTGGTTTCTCAACAACTTGAAGGATCTGCAAAGAAGATGCTCAGACAATACCAGTTTCAGAAATCCATGGAAGACAAGAACCTGGCAGACCCATAACAACACACAGTACCCAAACTCGTGCCTTATCTTGGAAACTTTATTTACTGTCCCAGCACTGACTTACTGTCGTGTGGTTTTCCAGTGTTCATTCCAACATGGCCTGAGGTTCCTTCAGCTTTGATCATGGAGTGAGAAGAATGCTTGGTTACAAGCCCATGAGTTGCATGCAGCCACCTGGTTAGATGCTGTCATCAAAACCTTGATCAGCCTTTGGAACAAAGCAAGCAAAATCAATATATGATCCAGGAGAACAAAGTAGGCAAGCCACACTGAGAACGAGCTTGAGAACTGCTACTGCTAATTAGCAGAAGCAAACAGATGATGGCAGAGAAAAAGATATTCAGAGCTATGCCTAAATATGCCAAGTCTGGCATTGATTCATTGAGTTCCTTTTCATTGACAAGAATGACTATGTGTGCTTAGTGTGCAATCCTTGCGACAGTCCAGAGCTTTTCACCGACACATGAAGAACTGGAATTTACATATACACCAGAACATGAACTTCATCACAACTGCTTTGTATTAAAAAAAACATACTGCTCTCTAGAGAGTATTATTAGCCCATTTGGACTCAGTCACAGGCATTTCACTTCCCTGTAGTTCTCTCTGCTCTAGCAAAAGGAGACACTCTTGCTCTTGCTTTTTCACCAGTTCATTTGAGGCCAAATATCCACATTTATCCTCATGTACATTACAAAGCAGACAGATGCCAATCATGAGTCAAGTTACAACTCAAACAAGCTCAAAAGCAACACAATACTGACAATATCACTTTGCCCCTGCTCTTTCCTAAGCTGTCATGTTACCTGTCAGGTTTGTATAATAAGTAATTTTTATTATTTGTATAATAAAAATCACCTCCAATAAACCTGACAGCAGGGAAAGTTCCAGAAACACCTGCCATGGATACAACATTGACAGTCTGCCAGGAAGAAATTCAACACCCAGCAAAAGGCTAGGCTTTTATAAGTATTACCTACCTAAGCCTCTACAACACAGGCACCCTTTTCGGTTAACCTTTAAGCTTTACACCTACTTTTGGCAGAAGCTGTAGAGAGGATCTCTATCTTCAACCAACAATAAAGGCAGCTTCCTTCCACAGATCTGAAGACTTTCCATCAGTTCCCCAGGGAAGTTAAGTACACAGCAATGCAATGCACTGCACTGGGCTATTACAAGCCGTATCGTGCATACCTATTAGCTCCTCTCTCAACAGAGAACACAGTACAAATGCAAACTGTCTTCATCACAGGATCATGAAGCTTGGTGACACCTAGCAGCAGTACACTTTCCAAAGTTAATCACACTAAGTCAGAAGCAAAAAGACCAACCCAGACTTCAGTGGCTACAAGTACTTCTGTGTCCAGATGTAGCGAACTTAATATAATCCACTAGTACAAGACCCGTACAGTATTTTCAGTGAATCTATTTCTACAGCATTTTTTGTACCAATCTGATATATTTTCAAACAACTCTACCTAAACAGAAATAGTATTCAAGGTATTAGAGCAGCACAATAACCACAACTATCCAAAACACTTTTTCCTCCTTTAAAGCAGCAAACAATTATGAATATTCCATGCACAGAAAACACTTATCACTGACTCATACAAAAAAAAAAAAGAACCTCATTATCAATCAACACAGAAGAGACCAAAGAGGCTCTCCTTGCAGCAGTATTTTAAATTACATTAAAGCAGGTATTTCTCTAGTGTTTGGGAATCACAAAATGCCTGTCAAACAAAAAGGAACAAGACAAGAGGTTATGTGCCATGTTATACCCTACTACAAAATCAGGAATGGGTATCACTGTCAGATAAAAGGGGGTAGAGGGACAACATGCGAAAATACCCCTCAAATGGTGTAATGTTTTATATGCCTCTTAACAGCTCATTTGAGAATCCTCCTGTTACTTCCCAGCACACTAACATGGTGCTATTTAGGACAAATTTAGGCTTGTATGGACAAGATGTCCTCTTCCAGAATGAACAACAGTAAAAATACTAAATATCTATATTAACATTATAACATAATCTGCAGTGGTATGGCAAGTTCTGTTATGTATCTGATGCTCCTAACTTGCTTCTAGCATGAAATATAAATAATATCTGTACGGGTACGGTTATTAAATCATGTATTTTTTCCGCAATAACGGACGATGAGGGATGTTAGCAGGCATCCCAACTCCCCAGAAGTCAAAACATTACTCAAATCCTTTGCAAGCAATTGCTGCTATATAAAAATAGTAATTCTTCAGAATACCACCACCAGATCTGGCTTTCTAGTGCCATTAAATAAACTAGGAATTTCCTGTTTCTTTAGGACACGTAAGAAGGCCTGAAGACTTTATTTTCCTTTTCACATAGCATCCGTAATACAAGCAAGCATGTTAGGTACTCACATAACATACAGCTTTACACCTGGACATTTCATGATACAGAAGACATGGTTTCAGAAACTAAGGAAAAAATGGAGAAGTGTTAATCCAGATGTTGGGTAACATGATGCTTCTTGTAACAGAGCACATGGTAAAACCCAGCATTTTCAAACCTCGTAAAACCAAACCTCAAGTAAGCAATGACTTAGAGCAGAAAGTTACCCGGTCAAGGCTTACAGAATAGATTTCATCAACTACCTTGTGACAAACTGAAGCTACTCTCACTTACACAGCTCTCAAAAACTTTCACGAGCAAGTCTTTGAGCAATATCAGAACAACTGTTCTTCTACATTTTATTCCATGTATTGAAATTCTTGTGCTTGCTTCAAGGTGGGGTAAATTAAACCATTGTTCAAAACCATGGGCTAATCCAATATAGATCAATAACAGATATATATCCTGTAAGTTTGTTCGGGTTGTGGTTTTTTTTTTAAGAAGACCAAAAAACTCCACACCTTTTGAGTAACAGTAAGGTATGTTAAAATAACCAGTCAGACTTCATTCAAATGAATTAGACAACTTTTACTAAATGAAAAAACCTACATGAAAATATGCATTTAAAACAAAATGGAATTAGAAAAGAGACTTAAATCCATTTTAAAGAACTTGCTCACTGTGTCAGAAATCAATATATCTCTTGCATTGTATAATGTGCCAGTTCATAAAACCTAAGTTACCAGAATCCTCAATTTAACATTTTCAAAGACACTACTGAAGGCGAGTTTTACATCTACTGATGCACATTTAGGATGGTATAAACCTGAAGCCTTCCCCCAAAGAATCTTACAAATCTGACAATATTCAGTAAAAGCTTTTGTAGTTATATCCAATATGTATTACATACTAAAGCATCACAAATCTGTGCCTTTCATTTATCCTACTATAAATTTTGTATTTTCTTTGTGTCTTGCCATTTGCCAATGTTAATTCTTTTAAGAAAGGAGAGAACTGAAAAGAAATTCTGCGTAACTCTTGATCATGTACAGAAATTATTGCTACTATAGTACACTACAAAGCAGAAGTCTATACAATAGTATATGAAATTTGATCATGAAAATCCAAAGGATATCATCTTTAGTGACATAAGCCTTATAATCATGTTGGACATTCATATAGCATTTTCAGCTCACCACTCGTCAGCTAGCCTATTGTCTGTTGATGAATATCCATTTAAACACACCCTCTTATGAAAAAGAACGTCAGCTTTCAAAGGCTTAGCAAATAAGGATCTTCATGTTCTGTGGAACTATGTAAGATGAATTTTGAGGCAGGTAGGGAGTTACCTGGAAGCTAAGCATGCCAAAGGTGTTTCATGCTAATAAAACTAAAGCCAAGGTACCACATAATCAAGTTACCAACTAATAGGCAATACCATTTTTGTCCTATCTAAGTTAAATGAAGTGCCAAAGCACAGTGTAACGTCAATAATTTAAAACAGCGTAGTGCACAAATTAATTGTGTGGCAGTTTAAGTTAAAAACTCAAGACAGGTTTTTCTGTCTCAATCTATATTGGCTGTCAAGCTCTCCAGTCTGGGCATTTTGGACTTATTTTGCCTTTTAAATCACTACCTACTATAAACTTTGCAATATAATGGGGCACACGTTTGGGTGGCATTATTATGAACAACAGGGTGCTAGGGGGAAGATAAAAAGATGGCTATTCTAAAAAGCCCCTTCTTTATATCAGCTTCAAAGAGAGAGCTGGGAAATAAGACTAGATACCATATTTGCATCATTCTAGCTACAAAATAACCAAAGTAAAAGCAATCAAGCAACAATAAGACCACATTACACAAATGGAACATCATGCTCTCATCTGGTTTAACTATGACATCAAGTTTTAACTGGGATGTTGGTCAACTTTAAAAACTGTGGTAAATGTGAATATGTAGTTGCAATAGTTTTTTCCTAATACCTTTTTTACTCTATGGTGGATATTAGAACTTGGAGCTATACTTGTTACAATACAGTGTCGCACATCTTTCTACTAGAAAAAAATTAATAAAGATCCTTTACCCGTCTCTTTAAGTTAAACGTGTGACATCATAAAGGGTGTCAAATGGCTGGATGGTTTTACAGTGCACACTTATTATATACTGTAATATGGAGTTTTGTCCTTGACAGATCTGATGGTGTTTCTATATTATTCCTTTCTTCACCTCTTCTTCGGTGGATTAGCTGTGCGAGGTGGAGTGACTGGACGCCCAGAATTCAGTCCACCATACTGGTACTTGGCTTTCTTTTCAGATGGTTTCAATATCTTAGGGAAAATAAATAAGTTCTTTTGAGTCAGTGACAGCTAAGAACATTTCAAATACTGTTAAGCCAACATGAAAACTCATTCACCAAGAAAAAGAGGGGTGAGGGTGCAGGAGAAATAACACCACAATCCTACAGATTTCTTAATCCTATATGCAACAGTAATACCACTTCTAAATCCTTCTAGTTCTACCACTACATTGGGGTAGGAAGGGGAAAGAAAAGGGGCTGAAAACATGCCCAAGGAGGAGTAGGGATTAAAATCTGATCAGAGTAACCACACTAAAAGGGTCCCAATGGTCCATTAGTCCACACAATTAGGTACTCAAATCACTAGGTATGACAAAAAAGAATCACCCAATTAAACTTAGAAATTAGTATCCGAATAGAGGGAACAACTTAATATACAGGAGTTTGGAAAACAGCAAAGCCCACACAGTTCTCTGGAGAACAGTTGGTTTGCAGTTCTAATTGTACACAAACACCAAGCCTGGTGCGCAGTCCTTTCTGTAGCTCAGGTATATTACCCTAGACAAACCATAAGCACATCAACAAGCAGACTAACTCAGTCCATATAGCCCAACACCTAAAATAATACTTAATGTACAAACATATCATACCTGAAAGGAACACATCAGAGTTTCATCCACACTCATCATGCCCCCTGCATTGTCAAACTCCCCACAATAATTTGGAGCTGAGAATAGAGTGACCAACTGCCGTTTAGCAAAGAATTCATATCCATCTTCAACCACCTGTCAAAAGAGAAATCAATATAGCTCATGTAAAAAAGATAAATTCTGAAGAAAAAAGCCAGTCTTGAGGCAAACAGGACTTATAGTAAAGAGATGACAAGAGCTCATCAAAAAGATATTTTATGTCATGGCTTTCAGACAGGACAGGTTCAATCACTTTGTCTTATCAGGACACTGAATGCCAAATCAGGTAGCTTAACCTGTCTGACACTTCCAATGTTAAATACGAATCAGCTTGACTATTCACTATTTTCATACTTGAAGTCAGATTATGCATATCCAGTTTAAGGACTCCCAGCATTTTAGGGTTTATACACAGAATCTGGATGTTTGATCTACTAGTTCGGAGCACACAAAGTTTGGGTACCATCTTCACTGCAAATGTAACTTCAAGTTTCACTTACACTGGTGTTGATCGTACAAACCTCAAGTGCAGGCTTTTTTATAATTTTGATGCTCTACAAGCCATTATTTTCTCTAAGAGAATAATTCACCTTTACAATAGTGCAAGTAGCATGATGCATCAGCTAAGGATGTTCCCTCTTCCCCAAAATAGAACCATCACATTATAATGTAGTGAAACTAATGCACCAACTGCTCACTTTAGTGCAATCACCACAATCTTTTTAAACATGTCATATACTTCTTTTATAAAGAACTGAGGTGACTACCTGAATACAGAAAATTGGTTGCAATCTTGATCAGCAGCTAAGAAATCTTAATATCCATTCCACACGCTGACTAATCTCTAATGTTTTAGCAGTAAAATTGCAAGGAGAAACATTCAAGTGTTCTGATAGTACACCCAAGCCTAACAGTGACACAGAATAAAAAGCCTACTTTTATTTCACAACAGGAGAGATCTTTTTAAACTGAAATAATGACACTGAAATGTTACACAGGAAATCAAAACCTGATGTCCACTTAACTATGACACTTGCTTAAAGTAACTTAATAAAAACTGCAAAAAAGTGTACTTAAAGATTGGTGATACCAAAAATAACCTTACTTTCTGCACATTTCAGTAAGACAACCTATGCCAAGGTACTCTAGACAGCTGAACCAAAATGAACGCCACAGAGAAAGCTTTTATATACAGACTTGTTTGTAGAAACATTCGAAATGCATTTAATACTTCCATGAAGCAAAGCAGAGACAGCTTAAGCCACAACTACCAGAGAGCTGACTACTACTGAAATGGAATAACACTGCAACTTCAGTGTAAATCTCAAATTCAAATTACTAAAGCGGCACACTTTACCTCTAATGTTCATACACAACAGTGTTAACAGTAAACAGACAATACATAAGAAAGGTCAATGGGGAAATCCAGTGTTGGTATTTTGCTCCACTGTCATTAGACACTCAGTTCAATATGAGTTAATAGGACGTAGCCTTATAGTCCCTTTATTTTTCCCCTAAAAGTAACACAATGCAAAGTAAGTTTCAAATATATCCTACTGATAAGCACCACCAAAAAGGCAGAAAGTGTAGATGGAGAGGTTTTAAGAAAAAACAGCAGCATAATTCATACCTGGTGAGCTCGACAGATCAAATCCAGATCATGACGATTCAGAAATTTACTGACCACATCAGCACCAAAAGTGAAAGAAACCCCACGATCATTTTCACCCCAACCTTGCACATCTTTGTCTGGATCAGACCACAGCAGGTCACACAGCAAGCCTTTGAAAGATAATACAAGTGAAGATGCTAGTCTTAGGAGGTATCATTCTATAATATAAAATAGTTCTATTGTAATTACCAGAGCAGCTCTCCTAAAGAAAATAAGCCTTAGCAACAAATACAGCAATACTTAAACTGCGACTCAGACAAAAAAATATGGTCTGCGTAAATCAAGATTTCCCCCCCCCTCAGCACTGATAGTACCTTGATATGAAACAAGTCAGAGCCAAGTGGTTCTCTGAAATAATCTGAAGTCATATTTAATTGCAATATTCAGCATGTTTACAGTGAACATCTGAGAAGTTTAAAAATACTGCAGTGGGTGCATTTTCAAAGGCAACCATCAACTTCACAGCTCACCAAGCAAGCTTAGCTTGAACGCTGCAGTAAATTTTAAAATCCTATGCAAGGCTAGTCATAAACACAGCAAATAAACTTGTACCACAACCTTCTGAACGTGGAACAGCTTTGATTCTTACCTTTCCTACCATACATGAAGAACTTTAGGTAACTAAATCAAAATTTAACATGGCAAAATTCTGATCTATTGTTTCAGGTGGCAGTTTCAGTTTGCTTGGACTACTGTTGACATTTCAAAAAGCCTCATGCCAACCAGTCTGGAATCTAAATTAGAACAATAAACCTCTCTGGCGTTTTAGCACTGGTCAAGATCTATTTCCTATTGTCAACAAAAGGTCAGCTAACTCTGGAGTTAAAAGTGGGTACTAAAAATTTCTCTTGATCAACCGCAATTCTTTTTTTGCATAGAAATTTCAAAGTGTTTTCACATGAGAAAGAACCAGGACAATTCAACCACAACACAAACCAAAAAGCATTCAAAATGTATTTCATAGTTTTCCATTATATTGTACTTTTTTTACCTGTAATGACTAGCCCTTAAGCATTTAAATACTTCAAAGTATTGTTTTACGATCTGAAAGAGGCCAGCAGGCTCCTTCATCTGACACTCAGAAATCTGATTTACAATTACATCTGGTTATTTGCTCCAAATACTGAAGATGCTTTCTTAAATAACAGATCCTTCAAGTTGTAGTCAAGCAAAACTTATGTCTGAAACCTATTATGCAACTAGATCATTTTGTATTTACATACAGCTATCAAACAGTCTTTGGTGCTAGTCACAGCTCCTTTCTAGCAGAGGCTAAGATTTTATTTGCTTTCAGAAGACAAAGAACAGAGCAAGTACAACTGCATTTAAGATAAAATATCTATCCAGAAATAAACTACTGAATACAGACAGCATATGACAAAGACTTACTTTACTGAGATTTAGGTCTATATTGAATAACGTGTTTTTCAAAACAGAATAGTTGCACTGCAGGCCCTAATGGTTTCTTATCATGAATTTCCAACAAGTGAAAGAAGCTGCTTGTCTGAGCTGCTTTTAGGAAGCACTTCCTCGTCTATTCTCTCCCTAAAATCAAATAATCTTCAGGATTATACACAGCAATAGGCAAACCTGTCCTAAAATCTTTAGCAGTGGTATAACAGAACCCTGCAATAAGTTTGTCTAAACTAAGCTATGCTGCCCAAGTATGTTTGTATTTTAAGATTCAACATCTACCATTGTAATAGCTTAGGCTGACCAGGAGCATGCCATAACACATCTGATACAAGACATTAAAGACTACACAAAAGAGGGAGTTACGGTTTCCTAATAAGCAAACAGTTGGCAATGCTGACCAAAACATATAATTTATACCTTGGCCTCACAAAACGCAAATATTTTAGCAGCTACCAAAGGCAAGTGATTTAAGTTGGAATACAGTCTCAGATTTAAGCAAACAGCTTCCAAACCCCACAAAAATACCCAAAAAATAAGAGGGCTTTAAACTGTAGTTGAGGTTCAAGGGGATTTTTTTCATCAGGCTAGAGGAAACCATTATAATGATCTAATCTCATCACAAGCCACACAAACATCTACCAGGAATTTCTGTATCAACACATTCACCAAGTGACATCCCTCCACAAAGAGACAGCTTTTAAGGACTTGTAACTTTCACAGAAATGAGACCACTTGAGCATATTTTTCATTTTTCCACAAGATTTGCTTCCATTCTGTAAAATCAGTTACCTTAAGTAGGTCCAAAAGGCCAAAACCTATGTCACTGTACCATACTCACACAGGCCTCTGATGGGACATTTCATTTCACCTGTGCTGGTAAACATCCAGCTACTGCTTCTGAAAGCAAAATCAAGACTGCAAACTACTCCACAGATAAAAGCCTTTTAAAAAGTCTCTATACTTAATTTTAGGAGGTACTACGAATATAAACGACTTGAGTGTCCATGGAAACCACAATTCCATTCTGCAAGGGCCTTACTGAAATGCGGGCATCTCATTCCTGAAATGCGGGCATCTCAAGCAGTACTATTAGTGTGTTGAATAGAACTACCTTTTCTGAGAGGTCTGATAAATCTTTAGATTGACTCATTTGTACTAGTGTTTATTTGGTTATGCATTCAGTGAATAAGCAACATAAAAGGAAGAACAATGTAGTAATTTATACTAGAGAAACACTAATTCACCAGTCTAGTAATGCTTCTCAGTGTCAAGTGTGTATATACCAGCTTGCACAAAAATATTGTTTAAGGGACAGAAGATACATTAATCTTGGTCCCGGAATTACTCCTACGCATCAGCACTGAGGAACGTTACAGGAAGCAGAATTATTCTATTCCAAGGGTTAACTGTAACTGCAATTTGTATTTCAAAAAAAGCTTACATGTGGTATCTCCTCTGAAAGGTAATTTCAGACCACTGGTGAAAATAAACACTTAAAAAAAACCCTAAAAGTAACACAGTTTGGAACAAATGGGACACTGAGGAAGACGATTAATTAAACCATTCAAAAGAATGTTGTACAGAAAGAACTGGCAATTTACATCCAACATCTATATACAAAGTAAAAGTATATACAAAAGTATAAAGTCTTAGTAGAAGAAAACTTCAGGACTAGCACACTGATACCTGCAATTGAAATACCAATTGCAGTGAAGTAGGAGCTATACTTTAAAAATTTGAAGAGTAAGGAGACATGGCCAAGTAAGAGAAGGCCAAATACTTTAAATAATTCACAGCAAGCTTTAAGCAGTTCTTTGATATGACTAAAAGGTTTGGGTGCACCTAACCAAGGCAAGAAAGAGAACTAGCTCTTTAGTTTCATTTAATCTTTCACTAGATTTCTAAGTTTCTTTTAAGGCAAACTTGTGTATAATGTATCCAAACCTGAATAATGTATCCTACTCCATTATGACAAGCAATAACAAAGTGGGCAATAGCTTCTAACATATCAGATAATTCAGCCATCACAAGGAACAAGACTCAAGCACTACATGGACGTGAAGGAATACTGTACTGTGAACAGAGGCTGTGTTAAGTCACTGCATTGCCTGTACAGAAATTGATTAAACCTGTTTAATCTGTAAGACCTATTTACAGTAAACTCCATGTCACTCACCTGTGTCAGGAACATCTGTAGGTCTCATAATTCTCCGGATCTGCTCCATTGACTGGAGATCTGGAGACAGTCCTGTAAGTACAAGAAAATGAGTGACTTATCTATATATTTTACCTGTAAAAAGGGTTCCAGAGAAGACACAATTAGAGGTTCAAAGTCATACAACATCTACTGTTTCTGCTGTAATATAATGAAAATACAGTTCAATGTAAGAGAATTAAGTTCCCAAACTCAGGGACAGAGAACAATACAACTGAAATTAGCAACGGGTTTTAATTGTTTTCCTACCATCCTTTTAGCCACACAGCACAGAACTCTACAGTTAAGTGTGTTCTCTTAAACAGCTAACTAGTGAGAATCAGTGAAGGACAGTATTCCCATTATCTAACAACTAAACTGGGTGCAGATGACTTTCTTTACAACCACCTTACTTTAAAAAAGCCAAAGGAAAATCCCCTACCCAGCTTTAAAAGACCACAAGCCAAAACAGCCTGCAGGTGTGACTAGAATCATAAGTCACATCACTATTTCAGTCTTCTACCAGACATCAGCTGAAGAGCAGTCACTGGGTGCTGTAAACGAATATGAGACTGTACAACTTTAATAGGTAAGGAGCACAGAGATAGTCATCTACTATAGCTCGGCCGCTTAGTCATTTATAAAACTATAGTACCATGATTACTCAGAAAACCCATTTATTACAAAGACACAGCTCTTTTTGTATAGTTTTACCACATTAATATGCAATTATAGCCAAAGACTGGGATTCCAAAGCCACTCTTTGAACAGTTAAGTACACACTCTAGAGCTTTTCTACTTGAGGCACACAGGCATGAATGAGAGCCTACCAGACGCTCTAACATCTTAGCATGTTCTTAAATAAGGGTCCTAAAGTGACTTAAATGACTTAGGCCAAGATAACCTAATTAAGAAAGCTGCAAATTTGGAAATAGAGCATGAAGACCTAATTTGTGATGAAATATGTTTCATATTAAGAAATCATATCCATTTGACTCAGTCCAGAACCTTGACCATGATTGAAGGAAACCTGTCATTAGAAAGGAGTCATTGCGTAAAATAATTCCAGCTGACAATCAGAGTTTGCACAGGGGCAATGTATGTGTTACATATGACTACAATGCATTTGATATAAAGAGTTGAACTTTTCTTCAGGTATTAAGATTTTAGACTATTTTTGTTGAAGCAGTCTTATGATAAAAGCCTTCTATCCTCATCAGCTTGTTAAAGCTGTCTTCCCAATATCACCTTGAGGCTGTGAAGGATGGCAGAAATCTTCCATTAAATAGTGTATCAAAGTAGTTTTAGTCAAGTCTACTTACACAACAATACAGGGATACTAATATAAATTCAGGCAGACAATCAACTTTTAACACTTTGACCAACCCACCTCTTCCCCTTCCCCAGAACTGATTTACATGCAGATTACACAAGCACACAGGCATGTGGATTCTACTCTGATTCTACTCAGCACCACACCTGGAGATAGGAATGGACAATCTCAGTGAAATAAGCACAACCAGTTTGTGACCTTCTATGAGGTTACAGTTCTTAGTGTTTCAGGTTGCACAGAAAATATGTTATTACAAACCATGTCTCAACCCTGTAGCTGTTAATTTGTGTCATTTTCCACCGCTGTAAAACAGCAAAACCCCATAGAACTGCATGTTTGTAGACCTGTCCGTAACCACCCTAGAGGTTGTCTTTTCCCAAATAATTTCGTAACTCCCCCTGCACAAAAAGAAATAGCTAATGTCTCAAATTCAGATCTACAGACAAAAGTTGTACGTGATCAGCACTAAAGGAAGGAAATAAGAATGCAAACACAGGCTACTAACACTCACTGTCAAGCTGCTGCCACTACAGTGGCTGCTGCAACCTACTGTGTACCAAAACAAAACTGAAAGTACACAACTAAATTAAGTGGCCTGGTCACATAATGACAACTAAGCACAGAAAAAGTATCTTTCAGTATACTATCTTTTTGAAGCACAAGAGCACCCCTTCCCTAAGGGAAAACAAAAAGAATTGTATCACTCCTGGAAAAGTCATCAAATCTAGGCTCTAGATTTAAACCACTCCCTGATCAGGTGGAATTGGTAAAGAGCAATGGTTACTTATTTTTAGTGTAATCCAGGAAGCTCCTCGGGGGTTTTTGGATACTCTAAGATTATCAAATAGACTTCACCTTCAACACACATTTCATTGCCATTAATGTCACAAGAAAAACAGAATTCCAAAGCTTGAAAACATTATGTAAACCCAGTATTGTACTAAACTAACACGATTCCGGTCTCAGAGCTTAAATGCAATGTGTAAGACCAATATGTTCCATCAACATGACACTACAACATGGACTTTATATACAGAAACTTGAAAGCAATCACGTAAGGTCTCTAAAGATTAGAACAAGGAAGTGGTGTCATAGATAAAAGGACAATACCGTACAAAATACAAAGTAGAGCAAAAGGGAGAAGTCAGGAATGCTTATCGAATAAGCTTGAATGAAGCAAGATAAAGAGCAGTGTCAGAAGTCAAGAGGACAGCCTATGAGCAATGTGGAAAGACACTGAAAACAGGAGGTGGTGATGGGAAAGATACAGTGAAAGATCCTTTCAGCAGCATGAACATCTGCCGACAGGAATAGCAATGGAGGTTTGATTTATATTGTGAGACAGGGAACTCAGAACAGCAGATGCCCATAAAAGTCTAGGTAAAAAAGCTGACTCAGGATTTCAAGCTATTGTATATAGTAGGCTACTACTGGGGTTAGGTGCCTTTTGTTTTACTATGTTATGCGGTTTTGCAAAGTTTTATTATATATCCCAGAGGACAATATTTTTAAAATAAACTATGCAAAAATGCGCAATATAGTAAAAAAGGCACCTACCTTATATCTACACGCTAGCTTCAAACTCCAGCAGAGTTGAATGGTTTGTGTTGCTGCCTCAGTGTTTATTATAGTAGTAACATCATGAAAAGGCGTTGACAGTCCATGATTTCATGGGATCTGGAATGCAGTTTGGATAGGATTGGAGAAGAGCGGAAAAAGGGCAAGACTTATGTGCTGAATGTCCACTCTTTCATTTATTAGGAGCACACAGCACATCTAGTAATTTTACACCATCTCACAGCTACAGTTCAGTTGTGAGTGATAGTAATTCCAGTTACAGATGAAGCCTGTACAAGTCTAAGGAACAAGCAGAATTCAATATAGTAAATATTGCTTTTCATAAGAGGATTCTTAAAGCGTACTATGCACAAAATAAAAGTTTTCCTACTTGATTAAACAAGAGGTTAACCCCCCAGTGTATTTATAAAAAAGCTTTACTTTTTTTTTGAAAAATAGCTTTCTAGGCTTCTTGCTCATTACTCAGGTCTCAAGTGCATGTATACACAAAACTATCAGTTTTGTCATAGAATATAGCATTCTACCTGCTAAGCTTGATTACCTTCTACCACCCACCTAAGTGTAACTGTTTGACTGAAACACCAGTTATTTTGTTACCATTCATTCTCTACTGTTTCACAAATAAAACAAAAATCAAAAAAGTATAATGGTAGTAAAATAATTCCCTCACCAGCTTTTTTTTGGAATCAAATTTATTACATGGTTTTAGCCACTGATAATTGGCTACCTTGGTGCAGAAGTTATTTTGTATCTCAGTCTTAAAATTATGAGATCTAGCTCATAAGATAGGTACTAGTTCTTAAAAAAGAAAAAAAGACACCAAACCACACTGAGAGCAAAATGAAAAGATGGCCTGTGAGAAAACAAGTACTATCCCAACATTGTATGAAACCAGCTAAAGAGGTCAAGACTATAGAGCTGGGTTTACTTGTGAAAGTTATTATTTCACTCCACTGCTAGGGATGCCCAAGTTAGCTAAGGCTACACTCAGATTGTAACAGCAACAAGTCATGTGGCAAATTAGGCAAGAATTCTAGCATTCAGTATCCTTCAGAGAGGGACATATGGATGGGAATACTTACAGATGTACTTGCCCCTCAGGCACAGAGGGCCACGTGTATCAGATAAGGATGACATCTGTCTGCTGCCAGGTGCACAGAAAAGCACAAGGCATAAAAGCAATCTTTACAGACAATATACGGTTAAACTTCTCCAGATAGATATCATGTACTAACATCCATGCTCCATTTGGTACTGCATTAACCCAAAGATAGTTTAGACACAGCCTTTAAAAGTAGTCATCAGCTTACCTCCGTGACAACAGAAGATCTTCTCATCCACAATGGCTGCAATAGGCAGACAGTTAAAACAGTCTGTGAAGGTCTTCCACAGCTTAATGTTAAATCTCCGTTTGCCTGCAAGAACAGTTTGAGACATTAGGAAGAGATGGCTGTCTTCTTAAAGCCAACCTGCAATACACATCACAACCTGACCAAAAATGTTAGCAAACTCTCTTCACAGGGCTTTATTTCTGCTAGTGTATTTAGATTTCAATCTCCCGCAACAGCATTTCAAGGACAGCAGAAGAGTAAACAGTAATTCTCTAGAGTGACTTTAACCTTGGTTTGAAATCTACTTTTAGAAAGGTTCAAAGCAGTTTGACAGCGTACTGAAATGCTTGCAGTACAACAGTCACTACTATAAGTGTCCCCAAAACACAATACTAGTCTATAACAGTGTTTCAAAAGAAATAGATTTTGCTTACATTCGTCATAGAATCCATAGATCCGATTGATGCTAGCACATTCATGATTTCCTCTTAAGAGAAAAAAGTTTTCCGGGTACTTGATTTTATATGCCAGTAATAGACAAATTGTTTCCAGAGACTGTTTGCCTCTGTCTACATAATCTCCAAGGAAAAGATAATTAGCTTCTGGTGGAAATCCTCCATATTCAAATAATCGAAGCAAGTCTGTATACTGACCATGAATATCACCTGAATAAGAAAATGTTTACTGAGGATTAGTGCAACAACATAAGGAGTACACAAATCAAGAACTTAAGTCAGCTAATAGCTTTTTATTAATCTTAACAAAAGCATTAATATTTCCTCTAAAAACAGACCCACAATAGGTATCGGAATGGTGAGAACCACGTTAATATTACAAACTGAAACACTCACTAAATGTAAATAACTCAAAGTATTTGCAGAACCGCTGTGTCAGTTATGATACCAATCTGAAAACCAAAAGCTACAGAAGTCTTCACAATTAGGCTTAAGCTTTCTAACCAAGCTCTAATTTGTTGAAATTAAAACAAGGTCAGAAAGATAACCTCCAACTGAACAGTTACATGGCCAGGACGCCAACTTCTTAAGAAAACATTAAGTCACATTATTTACTGCAAAAAGAGATGAGTAAAGAATCTAGATAGACTGGAAAGAAACTGAACATTGCGCTGGCAGAGAGCACTTGCTTCAAAGGTCACCTGCTTGTCATCCCATAACATTGCTGTACTAAGATTCACATCACACAGCATCTAGGGTAACTCTTCGTTTGATGCAATTCTTGATATAAAAACAGTACAGAGACTCGGAGACTTACATCTCTTACAAGATACTCAACCTTTCACATATATCTTAGGAAAAATAACTGTCATGTCACTCATCACACCGCCACCTTTAAAATTAAGCTCACTTTCCATGAAACAGCTCTGTGTGGCAATTACAACACCATAGCATATCATATCAGACTAGCCAAAGCTAACTATCTGTGAGCTGCCCATAAGCTCAGAGAAGATACCAAAGCTGCTCTACTGTAACTTGTAGAGTACGTGATGGATTCCAGCTGACTGCAGAATTCATTAGCAAAGTGACTGAATGCAAAAAAGCTACGCAAGAAGCATTCAGTACAAGCTGCATGCTGTTTAAATATAGTACCTCTTGGTCCCTTACACTAAGCATTCCACAAACGCATTTTCACTTTTGCCATTTGTTCAGTGCCAAAATCCCAACTTTGTTAAGCACAGCTATTCTCCAGCAGAACACTAGCTTCCATTGCCTTAAACAAACAACAAAAAAACCAATACACACATCTCACTACAACTTTTTTCATAATCTTAAAAGAAAAAAGATTCCCAAACCTGTACACTTGCTAGTTCAATTCTTAAAGCATACAGTGCTAAGAAGAACACATAGCTATACTCCTCTCCACTACTTCCGTAAGAAATGCAATACTTCCTTCTTTAGGCAGCATTCTTCTGTAACCATTTCTCACTCGGAGAAGAATCACTTCCCAATTTTCTTCTAATAACAGGGAACATTATCCACTACCCAATTCCAGACATAATCTGAAGTTTCATTGGCCAAAATAATTTTCACATATGTTGCAATAAGAAAAAATCCAATTCTACTTGATATTCAGGTCACAACCAGAAGATATATCAGGATACAGAAGATATATATCAGGATACCAGAAGATATATCAGGTCACAACCAGAAGAAAACATAGAAGACTCCTCAAGTCATTGCTATGCTGAGTCTGGTACTCCAGAACTACACTATCAATACACTCCCCAGACTTCACCACCACCAGAATTAACTACCAAGTAAGCACCCTACAGAAATAACATAATTGTGTTAATTGTCTAGAACTACTTTCAGTTATACACATAAGCCAGAGAGACCAAAGCACTTAAAGGGTAAAAGAACATTTTATAGAAACAATTTTGTAAGGGGACCAAAGCATTTACTACTCCATTCAAGGCACCTGGCATTTTAAATTACAGCTTCATATGGGCACAAGTTCAATTGAAGTGTACCAGATACAAAGCCTTACAGTCAAAAACCCGCACCTATTTTTAAATGGACACTTACATAAGAATATATTTCATCTTACATCAAAACACAGCCATTCAAGATGTAAAAGCTTATTTTCAATTGACTTGATTACAAGACAAGACAATCCTATAATGGTTTCTCAGGCACTGCCTGAACAAACTAAAATAGTAGTTCAAAGCAGTACAGCTTTTGGTGAAAGAGATCATCTTTCTTTCACTTTTATCTAAATGCATCTTTGACAATTGCTCCAATATTAAATTTAGATGCACCTGACACTTCCTGGTGATATTCCTGTGTTTGGAATACAACATAAAAATACCAAATGCCTTATTTAACTGTGCATTTGCTACCATATTATTGTATACCTAACAGTCCTTTCAACTGTCTTGATTCAAGCAAATGAGAAAGTAACTTTGAAGGAGGGTAATTATACTTCACAGATCTTGACTTACGTACTATCTAAATATGAGTTTTCATTTTTTATCTAGGAATACGATGAGACTACTGTAGTCTTTTCAGTATACCATAAACACAATGTGGCAAAGCTGGATTTTACCTTCAGCTTTATGCCATTAGGCAAGCTGGCCCAGTTTTTCCTCCCCATCCTAACAAGCAATTAGTAACTTAAAAATGGCTTTGTCATTAGTGCCTCTTTTTTAATTAGTAATTTCCTCTTTTTATGTAAGAAATATTACTACATTACATCTGCCAGGAAGAAGCCTAGAAAGAAGATAATCTTTGAGCATGTTAGTAACAACAAAACTCAAATACTGCTTCAATTTAAATACTATGACACTTTAGGAAGGCTAATTCAAGGCATTTTATGCTTTCTAAGACTGCATCTGCTGTTAATAACTTGAAGGATGACTACAAGCCAGCATTCACAATACTTTTGTAACTGTTTTTAACAAGCTTGCATACATATTAAGACCAGCATACTTTTGAAGAAATGTAGCATCTTAAAAAGGTTTAGAGAGGTAAAGAACACACACATTTTAATTTTATCCATATTTGACAGCAACAATGATGCTTGTTAAATCTTGCTATATAAAGCTCAAGGAATTTATTACACAGTAACTAAGTCTAATTTAGCTGTCTGCATCCAGTTTTATTTTTTTCAATTCAAAGACTAACAATGCTTTCTTCAACACAATTTCTGAAGTGCTCCATTTCACAACAGGTAGAGATCTTTGTTTTGCTTATGCTTTGAAGAGAGTAACTACAACATTAAACATTTGCTTTTAAAGCAGTTAACTGCTTTTTGAAATAGTGATCAAAAGAGTAGGAGCTCTGTACAAGCAGTCCCTAGGGAAGTACAAGTGACAGGTTGCAAAATCTGCACTAGATAAGGGCACAAGCAGCTCTTATTGCCAGTGGAACTTGCTCCTAAATAATACCGGGAGCATCAGCAATCTAACAACTGTTAGCTGCTCTTTCTCAGGTTAATCCAATCTAAGTTGAAAATTACATTTAAGATCACAAAGATCTCACTCTAATCCGTTATCACCCAAGTCAAGGTCACTCGCATATCTCAGTAACCTTCCAACCCACCCAGCATACAACTAGATTAAAACACCTAGACATGAACCACATACATATGAATTTTACATACCACAAATTTTCAGAGGTGCTTCTAGTTCCAGGAGAATAGGCTGGCTAAGAAATATTTCCCGTGATTTTATGCATAAGCCCCGAACTTCTGCTTCAGTCATCTGAACGATCTTCCCCGGACGACATCCTCGTACTGAAATGAGATGTTTAACAACGGAAGGTAACTATCACACAGATATACAGCAGTAGGTAAGTGCAGATGAGCTGTATTTGAAACCTATATGTGTCAAAAAGCCAGCAGTACACTCCAACTTATCTACCAAATGTGTTGGAGTTATGTATTCCAACCAATTCTAAAATTTATTTCTGACACTGTGGCAACCTGTGCTTAAAGGTCTGTACACATCCCTGTTAAATCAGGTTTTCAGAAGAGAACAATTTAAGCCTTGTTTTCATACAAACTTGGATAAATAACAACTTCCAAAAGTGCTTTAATTAACAATCCCATTATGCTAGAGTATTCACAATAGTTAAAAAAATCCCAAGAATGAAAATCCTGGAAACACTTTTGCATTAGCACAAAATAAACTTCTTTAGGACTTAAATTCAACAGAGCTAGCTAAATATAAAGAGAAAAACACAGGCATGTTTAAACTTTTGGCAGCTGAAATTGCCATATTAGGAACATCACACTGAAAACTACAAAAGTTTGATGAAACCTTCATTCGTATACAATGGCTCTTGAGTTATTGGGATCATTAAGTCCAAACAAAGACATTCTAATTACAATGAAACTGAATTCCTAAAGCAGTAAGTCAGGTACTCAGATCTATATTTAGCACTAAGTTTACAAAAGCATTCACATGTCATTGCACTCTGACCAACATCTCCTAGCAAGTTTATCTGCAGCTGCTGCTTTCCACAAATACCTACAATTCCTCTGTCACAGGTTTTAATAAGCGTTCAATGAGGCAGCAAAATAGAACAAATGTGTCTGCACTTTGGCTGATCCCGTTCAGTCTTGCATTTTAGCATAAACCAAACTTCAGAGTTCAAACTAGTAATTCAGAACGTACTGGTGTCTACAATAGCCAAACATCCTGTTCTGCCATCTACTTTAGATGGAAGCAACATTCAGCATTAAACCATGGTAGTACCTACAAGAAAAGGTAGTACAAATCTTTATCAGTTCAAATCCAAATGCTTGCAATCTCAAACCTAATAAGACATTCTGTAAAATTGTAGCTGCAGCTTCAGGAAGTCTAACAAAATAGACTGCAAACGGAATAGCAAAAACTAGTTCTTCACACATAAAAAAAAGTTCCTGGCTTGCCTGCTTCCCCTCTCCAAAAAAATAATATTAAGCTTGCAACTTTTTTTTTAATTAATACAGCCTCCCTTTTCTTTCTATTTCCATTGAGCTCCTAGAAAACATACTTTACAGAGGGGATCAGTATCATTATCTACACACAATGGGGAAAAATGTATGAGGGGAAACAGTTTGTCCTAGGTCACCTATACTACAGTCCAAGTGTTAAGCTCAAAAAGCTCTGCTCTGGTTATCACTGCATACTTCTCCCAGTGTAACTGCACATCTGACCATTCCAACACTGTGCTATGAATTTTTATTTTTTTATTTTTAATAAACACCAGACACACTTGTTAAACTGAGGTTAGGAACCAGCCACGGGAACACATGAAAGGCAGAAATGAAGAACAGTTTTCTCAAGCAGGGAAGAGAAGATGTGACACTAGATCCTGGGACAGCCAGTTTGAGTGCCGAAAGGAGCATGAGGGCTAGTCTAGCTACAGAGGGGATACACTGGAAATATTAGAATCCCACAAGAACAAGGCTGTGGCATACAGGACTTCTTTCAGTGAAACTGAATCAGTACTGGGTGATATTTATCATATGGTAAGTCACATTCCTTTTGCTAATTAAGATTTCAACTATACTTGAGAAAGCAATCAGCTTTTTAGCAACACTTCCTTGTTGTTATTCTTCATGCATTAAGATGTTGGCTTATACATTAAAAGAATACAAAGGCAGACATTAGACACAATCAAGGTGACTACAAAACAGTAATTCCTACAGGATTCCATTTCATCACATCTCATAAGTCTAATAAGTGATGCACTTACAGATACATCTTCAGCCCCAGGGGGATTATTAACAAAAACCAGTATCTTGGGCTTGACAGCTTTGCACAGGACTTGACCATCCAATTTCTGAGGTACCCAATCCATCTTTACAAGTGCTTGCAATCTGGTAGGATATAATAATCCCTTTCATAGACCAGAAACTCATTTTGATAGGCACAATATCATTATACATAAGCAAGCTCCTGTCTCAAAGAGCAGAGTCTTAACATCACAATGGCTATCATTTTATTGAAACAACTGTTATATTTTAAACGCATGGCTTATAACATCAAGGTCACGCCAAAGCAGCATGCAGCACCAACTAGCTTTTCAGTCCCGTTTTTCTCTACAAACTATGCATTTTTTTACCCTGTTTTGATAAGCAATGAAATTCTCCTTTGTATTTAACTACTTTCATAATGTTTCACAACACCAGAATTCAGTAATTTCATGTAGATTGAAACCAAAAAGTGACCTAACTGCACACTTTGGACTTTTGAAACTCAAACCCAGAAAAGCCCACTATACACAACTTTAATGTTACTGTAAGTAGCACCAGCCAAAGCAGAGTTCAAGATTGAGACAGCAGTTCAAGGAGGGCAGTCATAATACTTAAAATAACTTTGATCCAATCAATAATTCTTAGAACATCAGCCTTTAACTCCCTTTGAAACTCACATGGATGTTTAACTCTGAATTATTGCTTTATAGGATCAAGTCTTTAAGCACTGCTAGATTTTTGCACTAGAAGACACAGTGAACATGCAGCTCCTGACTTCAAAATTAACTGCCGTAGTCAGTGCATCCAGTGTCATTATGTTAGTTCTTTACTTTTTACAGTAGAGCCTTAAATGTTGCAAGCCCCTAACAGACAAACCAACAAAGAGGGTATTAACTTATTACCACACTTTGGATTCTCCAGATAGGAGAATTTCCTACAACTACTGCAAGTCTGGCACTCTCAGAAGAGGAAACAACACACACCTAATGACTGCAGTTACTTCCAGCCCTCAGGAAGGGTACAAATCTGGACCACTGCACCTTTGCAAAAGCACCCTCCCCACTCATCCAAAAAGTCAGCAGCTCCACATAGCAAGCATGCAAGCTCAGTTACATTTGCAGCAGTACCAAGTCTGGGCTTCATGAGGAATAATCAATAATATAGCTAAAAGAAAGTAAGTTTTCTGTCACAATTCCCTGATCATCAATAAGGGTACTACATATTGAAAAAAATTAGAAACTACTGTGACCCTGGAAGCCTCAGCACTTCACTGGATTCACAAAGGCACCGAAAGGTTCACAAAGGTTCACCAGTCATCTGAAACAGCTGTGCTACAGCTGCAATACAAGCACATAAGCAAGACTAAGCACATCTTTCACCAGCTTACACTACAACTAGAATTTTGTTCAAGTTTCCTTGACTCAGCTGAGTACTGTATGGATTGTAAATAAGAGCATCTCTCAGCACATTTAGTTTTTCAAAAGCCAAATCCTCAAGAGTAGATTTAAGTGGAGGTTATGAGAATGAGATCAAGAATGCAAGTGATTTTTTCAGACTCATTTACAAATTACTTCAGGTAACCATTCTTAAAACATGCAAGTCATAGCTGCATGCATTGTAAAATCTGTAGCTCACAAAAAATCTTTAACAGCACTGTAAAAACCATAATTTTTAGTGGCTGTCACTTACACAGCACAGAAACAGCATCCCAACATTAGACGTAAATTAATTCTCTGTAATCTAAGACACAAATGCTGTAAACAAGCTTTGATTTACATAAAAGCCTTCGGTAGGCACAATTCCTGTTGCAATACACGACCCCACACGTGCAGTGCCATACCAGAACAAGCCTTTGCTGCAAGCAGCTTAAAGCAGAGTGACATAGCAGGGAATAAAGAGAACTAAAAGCAACTATATGCATTGTACTGTCAGGCTATTATTTCAGCACAACAGATCCTATAGTAGCCCAAAAGCTGCTCTAATCAATCTTAAAATGTTGTCTGAATCTACAGAACCTTTGATAAACAACCTTAGTAAGTCCACTAATGGCAATTAGTGATCAGAGACAAGTTGCAAAGTAGCAGGAAGAAAAAAAACTTCAAAAAAAAATTTTTTTAATCCCTCCAAATTCATGCCAGAGTAGCAGATTATGTAAGGAAACACCAGAGAGGAAGAAACAAATAACACTAAGGCAAGTGAGTAAAGAACTGGCTGTTGGAAGTTCTATGAGCATCACTTTTTGCCATACTCTTTCATGAGCTAGAGAAAATACATTTAACCTATTCTATCACACTGTTTCTGGCACACCTCTCACCAGAAGCTGCTCATTTTGTAGCATCACTAAAAGAAGTTTCTTCAATAACTAAATCAGCTGTGGTATGCACAGCTGTCTTAAGCATTTATACTGTGTTCTCCAATACCAGGTGTTGTGTTTACTTGACAAAATATTCGTGGTTTTAGCATAACATTACAACCCTGACAGACTTCTCCCAAGATTCATAAAAAAATTGGGCCACAGAGTAAACTGCATCAGTGAACTGATCTTTTCTTTCTAGCACAAAGACACAACAAACCAAAAAATGTAATCTAGATAGTTCCCCAAGCTGGAGAATACATCCACTGTAAACCTGGGTTACAAATAGGAAAGGAAGAAGCAGCTGGTTTTGCTTATTTTCACAGTAGCTCCAGCCAAACTTATCTCTGAGATTATGGCTTTGGAGATCTATTTTGCCAGAAGATATCTAAAATCCCAAAACTAAACACAAGACTGCAAGCATGCAATTTTACAAACTGCATGCAAGCAATTCCCACAAGCTTATGCTCTCCTCAACTTTCTGTGGAATGTTTAATGATTGGTGATTAACCAATATGACATTTAACTATTTATTTCTTGCACTTCAAAGTACTTTGTATTTTACAACTACTGAACAGCCTCTCAACAGTAGGAGCAGAATAGATTTGAAAGCCCAAGGTGGCATTACCTATGATTTGAAAAAAACCCAAACAGTTCTTGTACTGATTTTGGAAACATGTTCTGAAGTTATCTGTTCTCAGCATTTTTAAAATTCA